AGCATACTTGCATCTGTATAGGGAATTATGAAATTAATACAATAACTAAAGCTTTTAGGGAGAAAGAAAAGAGAGTTAGAACATTTTGTTCTTAAGCACACAAGATGGTTTTTATTCTTATTTCTTGTGACTTGAAATATTACAAGAGGTCTCCTTTTATAGCCAAGAAGATTCACAAAAGACAAAACCATACTATTTACAAACATGGCATCATTAATGTCTTCTTTCACAAGTCCGACACCCTTACCCCTTATGGATAAATTATTGTAGTGCTATTACACAAAAGGACGAAACTTAACTATTTATAAACATGCTTGTGATTAATAAGAGACACTTGTCCAATTAGTCTTTAAAGATAGGTTCATGACTTGGAGACATATTCTAATCGGATAAGTATTCTTCTGAAAAGCAGTCTCTGTATCGAGATGTCTCTTTTTCCCACACGTCATCCATCTTGTAAGCATGGTCTGATATTTTTCTATGAACTTCTTCCACGTGTCCTTCTGAGAATTCAACTTCCATTGGGGAATCTGCTTTTTGTTGTGTGGCTTGAACTGAGCTTTCTCCAACCTCTCGATTTTGATACTGAGCTTGATGACTTATACAAGTGGAGTTAGCATTCATCTTGTCTGGTTCATGGAGGTTGATGAAGTTAACATATTCCATTAATTCTCTTGTGACTTTTAGATTTGGAGGATAATCATCAATGGTTTCCCATATATGAACATAATTCTTACAACCAAGTAACTTAGTGGTAGGATCTGTTTGATAGGGTCTGTGCATGAAGAAAACAGTCTTGAATTTTCTAATAGCCTCTGAGGCTAACCCCCTTTCTTTGACCTCGTCTAGGATTGGTTTTAATTGATCTCTCCACCATGTCAGCAGAGAGTACCATTCAAGAGTAGTCCAAATCAAGGATTTGTGGTTCTTCGGATCCATTATGTGTTCATACATGGCTTCGGTGGGTATGAGGACAGGCATAAAATATAAAGCAGTGGCACACCAAATATACCATAAATGGTTTTTTTGTGAATTTAGCATTAGGGTTTATTAAAATTGGTAGGAGAATGGTGTGTCTGGGAAATAAGGAGTATGGTCAGGGAGTTTATTCCTTATGATTTTTGTCATATAATAAAAAAGATTATTCCTGGCATACTGCTTAAGCTGTGAGGGTGAAGAGGATACAATTACTCCTAGAGGAAAGTCTTTGGTCTTGGAGGCACGGGTTGGCAATGGTTTGACCATGAGAATCAAAGGAAAAGTGTGCTTGGTAGTAATGATCTAGATGGGTTTCATAGGCCTAGAAAGTAAATCAGGAATCACATTTTGAGTTCCTTTGATATGTTTCATAATAAAATCATATCTAGAAAACCAATCTTTGAGCCTAAGAGTTTGAGGATCAGGAAGCATCTTATTTTTGAATTCGAGGATCTTAGGGAAAGAGGAATTATCCATCTGGACTTCAAATTGATGACCTCTCAGGTGAAAGTCAAACTTTTGGATACCCATCTTAACTGCAAGAGCTTCCTTATAAGTGGTATGGTAATGTTTTTCAGCTTCTTTGAATTAACCACTAGCATGACCACAATAATACTTTATTCCATCAACTTCTTCTATGAAGACGGCTCCCCAGTAATGATCACTGGCATCCGTCTGTAAGATTCTTTTACCGTCTCTCGGGATCTTTAAGGCAGGTGGGGTTTGTGCGATCTTTTTTAAGGCTCTTACTGCTTCAGTTTGCTTTGTTCCCTATGGTGGGGGTTTTTCTTCAGCATTTGAGATAGAGGACTCGTGTATCTTTCCAGTTTTGGCAAGAAATCTCTGATATAATTAATTATACCAAGAAATTGCTGAATCTGCTTAACAGTGAGATTTTCATCGGGAAAGTTTAACAATTCTTGAGCAATATGAGGCTGAGGTTGATACTTCCCTTGGGAAAAATGCATTCCTAGAAAGTCAGTTTCTGTTTGGCCCAATTGACTTTTCTTTTCAGAGAGCATCATTCCATGTCGTTGGGCTATTTGAAGGAATTGTCTCAATAGTTGTTTATGGGATTTTTCATCTTTTGAGAATAATAGCACATCATCATTATAGATGAGGATACTATTGAGAATGGGCTCAAAAATTCTAGTCATGGCCTTTTGAAAAAGTGATGGAGCTACCTTAAGCCCAAATGGTAACACAGTCCATTGGTATTGGGCGTTAGGAATGCAGAATGCCGTTTTGTAACGGTCCTCAGGGTCGATACCCAATTGCCAAAATCCTGACTTAAGATCAAACTTGGAATAGATCTGGGCATCTTTGATGAAAACATTTAAGGACAAGGCCTTTGGAATAGGAAATTTATCATCCTTGAGGAAATGGTTTAGAGGTTTATAATCAATTACTAGCCTCTTTTTTCCTCTTAACTTTTCAGATCTTTTTTCTACATAAAATGCTTGGCAAGCCCATTTTGATTTGGTGGGTTCTATCAGACCTTGTTTGAGCAACTAGTTGCATTCTTCTCTAGCCAATGTATAATCTGATGGACTCATTCCTGGATGAGTGGACTTGGTTGGATTAACATCTTCATTGAGCTTAAAAGGAAGTTGAACAAAAAAGTCTTTATTCTTCCATAGAGGTTTTGGATGGCAGAATGTTTCATGGCTGTTTGCACAGAGTTTCAGTAGGTTGGACTTGATTTCTTCATATCCAGCAGGGATTTTTGATAGTGAATATAACTTCAATACCCCATAATAAGGTTTGAATTATCTTTTGAATTTTATTCCTGTGGGAAGAATCTGTAGTCTATTGGCTGCTGAGTATACATCTATCCCTACTACACTATCTTTATTTGGAAGATTGCTTCCAACGACCTTGGTCCAAACTATGCAGTCGGGGAAGAATTTGATTCCTATCTTTTCTTTGGTCATTAAATCTGCCCTGAAGACTTTCCCATCGGCTGCTACAAAGTATGCAGCATGTGTTACCCATGATTTTGCTGGGAGAATGCTAGGATTCATCATTGTAATATGGGCCCCAGTGTCCATATAAGCTATAACTTTCTTCGGACGGGAAAACTTTGTCACGAGTACATGAGCTTCAATACATGGGAGTGGTGGAGTAGGAAGAGAACTTCCTATCTCTTTGAAGGAGTAAACAGGGAAATATTTGTCATCTTCTGATTCAGAAAATGATGCTTCATCAGACGCAGAGTCTTGAAGGGCAAAAATTTTTTCTTCATCAGCAGAACTTTGTTTAGAATACAAAGATTCTAGATCTCCATCTAGAGGTTGAAGAGAGTTGATCAGTTTTGCGGCTTTGTGAGTATTATTAGGACATTCCTTAGAAAAGTGCCCCTTTTCCCCATAAATAAAGCATCTCTGATTTTTCCCCTTTCCTCTGAAAGATTTTCTTTTAAAGAACTTCATAGTCTTCTTTTCCTTTCCTTTAAAGGTCCTATGAGATTTGGAGTATTTTTGATCATGATGTTTCTTTTTTGTTTCACAACTGCACCTTTTGTCTTTACACTTAATCTCCAGATAAGGTTTTTTGCAGGCCTTGGTGAACTTTGACTTTTGCTGTATAACTTCTTGAAATTGATGATGAAAGCTGCAAAGCTTTTCAAGTGCTTCCAACGTCGCCTGATGAATCTGGCCAAGACTCATTGTTGTAATATCCTTTTTAGCTACTGCTACCATCCTATGGATTTCTTGCTGGAGTTCATGTGGTAGAGACGATACATAGGTATTCTTGAGACTAGGATCGTTGTACCCATTAAGGAGATAAAACCTTTGTCCCATCATGTGATAGTGTTTGTCGAGGTCTTTTGTTTTGAGGGAACAACACTTCATCTCAAAGAATTCCTGTTTGTTTTTTCTATCGAACATATCCATATCTCTGATAAACTCCTGGTAGAGTACACCAAGGATATTAGATGTGCTTTCTAAACGGTGTAACTCATCTTGTTTGAAAGCCCCAAGATTGTGATACCATTCCTTCATCGTGCCTGTCATTCTACAGCAAAATTCTTCAATGACCTTATAGCTATCTGCATTTGTTTTCATCATCTGGGTATCAAGCCATGCTCCAAATTTGAGTAGTCTCTTTCTCCAGCGACTAGGCGGTATATCATCAAATGTGAACCAAGGACCGCCATTTGGTTTAGTCCTTTCAGGGACTAGAGTTTCTTCAGGAGATTCTTCAAAAAATGAATCTTCCTCTTTTATATTTTCCATGAAGAGTCTTGGGAGGTAGTTTGCTTCAGATTGTGATTCTGATGAAAAGGATCTTGGTGTTTCATCACTAGACGTTTCTTAACATGAGTCTTTGTCATCATCCGAGGAGGATTCGTCTTCTTTTTGTGTCGATGATTCAACAAGAGAGTAACTTTTCTAGGGAAATTCATAATTTCCAGTGATTGCCATGGCTTGGAAACCCTTATCATGAATTTCTTCATCCTTTTGGAATTTTGGAGGAGGTGTTTCAGGAAAATCCTGAGATTCTGAGGATGAAGCGCTCAAACAGGCAGCCTTTCCTTTTTTCTTGGAGGTTGAGGTAATGGTAGTTCAGGTAGATTTTGGTCTGTAAGCTGTAGGTATGTATTTGACCTGATCTGGTGGTGAAGAAACATAGGTATGGAAGAAGGGAGAAGGTCTTTTTGGTCGTTTGAAATATGTAGGGAAAGTAGGAGGGTCAAGGAAAAGGTTTTCAACAGGCTTGGGCTTTCTTTCGTGTGAAGCTCTTAAGAAATCATCTATTTCTTTTACTTGGCATTGTAGGTTTCTGATTTCTCTTTCCTTTTGGTCAAAAGTTTTGCCAAAAGTTCTTTCTTCTAACATTTGTTGCAAATCACGGTCCAACTGAGACACTTGAGCCTTTAAGCTTTTGTAATGCTTCTGCATTTTCTGTGATAGAACGTTGAGATAATCATTTGTCTCGTCTATTCTCTCAGCAATCTTGTCCACTTTTTTGTCGAGATTTTGGAGGATGTCATTTTGAGAAATCATGTTTTCTGATTGTCAATTTAGAACTTCTTCAGCTTGAGTTAAAGGTTTGAGTTTTCCATAAGGTTGTACTTCATTAGGATGAATGAAGGGTTTGGATGTTCTTCCAGTGATTGGATCCATCTTCCTTTCTAAAGCAGGAAATTGTTGGCTATAATCTGGTGCGGTAGTTGAGTACATAAAGCAAGGGATTAACTCAACATTTTTTGGAGGGTCCAAAACTTTGCAGTAGTCTGACGATGACCACGTAACTAGAGTAGGATCATTTGGTGGCAGCAGTTTCTCTTTCCTGAGGATCTTGAGAGCTTCCTCATATATAGGAAGAGGTTTCTTTTTATCATGGATACCTACCCATGGACCGTTATCAGGATCATATCTTCTTTGTGGAGGAAGAGATGGTTTGCACACCTCGTTGTTTTTTCTTTTCGGAAGGATAATATCTCTGTCATAATCATTATCGTGCATCCAACATTCACATCCTGGGTCACATTTATTGGGATCTACGTCCTAAATAAAATGACCATTTATCTTGTCAGTATAGATAGGTTCTCCTTTACTAGTTACAGCATGAATTGGGCACCAATCTTCTTTGAGAATCAGTCGGATCATCATGGTCTGGAAAATAGGAGAAATTGAACTCGATCCTTCATCTGATTTTTTGAAAATTATTTTGACCGTTTTGTCAACAGATCTTCTAAAAGTGGCCTCTTGAGATTGTATTTGTCTTCTATCTTGATGGATTTTTTCATAGTTTGTTATCCACTCAAGATGAATTAACTGAGTTAGTTCTTCCCTTGTGATCTTTCTTGGAATATGAACAATAGAGGGTATATCTTCTTCTCTATTAGTAACTACTAACAGAGAATCAGAAGAACATCCTGTGAGAGGAAAATCTATCGAATGATTTTGTAGGCGATAGATTATTTGGTGATGGAGAGTAGCAGACATGGCCTCTGGAACTTGGTCAGATCCAGTGATTTGAACTTGGACCTTTAGTATGGTAGATAGGGTGTTGTCGTTGAGGCTTACATTATAATTTGGAAAAACAGTAAGAACAACGCTTCCTGCATGAAGTGAGGTCAGAACAGTCCCTATGACAGCATTTTCATAATGGAGATAGCTCGAATCTAGGAGAGCTATTTTGCAGAAGACGGGATAATTTTTCCTTCCATGGAGAGAGAGGATGAGTCTAACTGCTCCAAAATGTAAAGCTGTGTATCCTTCAGATTTCCAGTGACTTATGAGACTCTGAGGAATCTCTAAATCCACATACTGCTCTTGGTTTGTAGCTCTCAAACTACATTGGTCTAGTCGAGATGACTGGACGTATTCTTTCATATGAGGGCGATTGGTAGATATTAGGTTTCTGATGGATCTGGTAATTGTTCTTTATTTTTTGAAGATATTATAAGGGCTTAAAAGGGGAGGTACTGTTTCGGAAATTTGAGCATCTTCTGGAACATAAGAATACTCAACAAGGTTTTCTATTTTATGGGTATCAGTCTTTTTACAGAGTTTAGGAAGTGATAGGGAAGAGGTGGTGGTAATAGGATGAGTGTTTTGTTGTGATAGCGTCATGGTTAAATATTTTTCTCCCTTACTTACTCTATTTATTATATTCATGTCATATGCACCCATTCTTTCTGTTGAGGCTCTGATACCACACTTACCAGGAGTCTCACATACTATGAAACCAGCCTTAACTGTATCGTCATTAAACAGTCAACCATAGGCATAATATAGACTAACTCAATATTTGTTGTTACAAGTTTTGTTTGTAATGTTTTAAAGGTTTGTGAAAGTAATATGGTGATGATGAGATTAGAGATGAAGTTTGTAATATGTTGCTGTTACAAATTATCAAAATATTTTTTTTGTGTGTGATTGTATATACAAGGGGTTATGTACGAGGGTGTTTTTTTTTTTTTGTTGTGTATATTGTGGCTTACCGTTTATGTGACCAAACTTGAAAGAGGAAAAAAGGTTTTCTATGAAAAGAATTTTTTTTGGTTCTGGAGAATTTGTACAGTGTATGTTGGAAAATAAAGATTTTTGGATGAGTTGAATTTGTAAGTTGGAATTGAGTGTAAAGTGTGAATGAATTTTTTTCATATCACTTTGTTTTAATATGAAAGTTTCTTTTTTCATGTCAGTCTTGAATTTCTAAGATAAACAATCTATCACATTTGTTGGTTCCAACTAATTCTAATGTCAATACCAAGTTGTTAGTATCTTTATATCGAGATATTCGATATTTAATTCTTTGTCAAATGATAACATAATTTACACTTTAGACTTTTGTATTTAATAGTATCTTTTATATTATCTTTAAATATGTTATTTTATTTTCTATAATTTTGTATACCTCAGTTTCTTAAATAATTCAATACATAATTTATTTTTGACTAAATTGTAAAATCTTTTTAATAAAATTCTATTCACTAAAAATTTAAAGTTATCTTGGTCAAGTATATTAATCTAAGATTTTTTTTTTTAAATTTTTTTTTCAATTTAACAGCAATAATATTTTCATAATAATGAAGGTTTTTGTAGGCATAAATACACTAGTAGATGTGAATGTATCCATGAGATTCAAGTTTTAAACTGCTTATTTAATGTTCATCTTTTAATCTTTCTTTTATTGGTGCTTTATATAATTAAAGTTTGAGAATCAACAGTACGATTTATTGTAAGTACATATCAATACTTAAAAGTTTATGCATATTATTAGTCTATCTTTGTAACTATGTGAATGTTAACCAATTGAAGAATGAATTCAAACTTTAAAAATAATTATTTTAATAGACATGTGATGTGTATCTAAACGGGACACATGCGATAACACGGGTTTCTTAACGCTAACATTTGTAAATCATTTATGATTGTCATCTTATTCTTTTTTATGAATATGGACAATGTGACCAAAATTGCAGCTAATTCAATTTTGTTGGAATGATTTGTTTTTTTATAAACGGGAAAGATGTATTGTTGATAAAAAAAATATAGTTGGAAAAAAGTCTATTATTGATACAAATAATTATATTGTTTTTACACGGGTAGATGTGAACGTATCTAAGAGATGTCAAAGGTAGACTTTTCATTTTAATGTTCATCTTTTGAATTTTTTTTTTGATATTGTTTATATAGTTGAAGTTAGCGAATCAGTTGTAGATTTATTATAAGTACGAATCAATACTTAAAAGTTGTCGCATATTATTAGCATATATTTGTAACTATTTGAATGTTAACCAATTGAAGAATGAATTCATACTTTTTAAATGATAATTTGATTGACGTGCAATATAAATTCAAACGGGACCCATGTGATAGCACAAATTTCTTACTAGTCACTAGTTTAAACATTATTTTACGCACAAAAAATTATATAAACACAAAACATTGATATCAAAGTCAGAGCATTTAACCTACCACTCTACACACCTCCTAAAGTGTATAAAAGATCAAAATAGTCCAATCTAATTTTTCACTATTTTACAAAAAATTTAAACGATCATCGAAAATTTTAAGTTTCAGTGACGATACCGAAAATTTAGAGGAGTTATTTGAATTTTCACAAATAAGTAAGAATTTTTAGTATTTTTGTGAAATTTCGATAAAAATTCACGGAAATTTTAGTATTTCTCGTAATTCTTAGTGTAAATTTCAAAATTTTGGTGATTTTGTAGCATTTTGTATCGGAAAATTCGAAATTTACAGTAGTTCAAATTTTTTGAAAAATCATGGAAATTTCAAATTTTCCGGTAGTTCTATTTTTAACTAATTTTGTTTTTGCCTTTTTTCTTTGTTTCAATTAGAATTAGGAGTAAAGATAATTCTGTTGTGGGCAGGCTGAATGATAGAGGAAAAGCTTAGGCCCGAAGTGATGAGGCAGAAGCTTCCTAGCTACGGGCTGGAAGGCCTCCTCCGACCGGTTCTCACCAGAAAAAAATGGTTGAGCAGACACGCGCACCCCGACATCAGACTACTAGAGTTGCTACTACTTAATGCTCTTGCAGTAAATGATGTCACCTGGATACCATACACAACTCAGCATCCCCATCGTGCATTTGACGACACTTCTTTGTATTCAGGACATTTGAGGTAACTAGACACTTGTCTGAGAGGTGTCTGCGACAAAATGGTTATGTCCTGGGAAACCCTCGTCCAGTTCCAGAGGCTCCACCTGATGGTATTAACATATGGTCTAAGAGTCACATCATCATCTCTGCCCGTGCCATTAGGGATGACACAGTTACGATTCAGTACCCTTCACAGTGCGAGGAAAATTACTTGGAGTGGTATAACGATATATCACACCCTCGCCTCATACCACCGACTGCAGGGTCTTCTGATGCTCCAGAGCCTTCTAGTGCTAGGATTTCTTATGCTGGGGTATATGCTGACGAAATGTCGCCACCACCACCTCCACCTTCCGCAGGTGACCAGCATAACCGCCTCTAGTTGATTGCAGTTATTGCTTATAACCTCACGGGTTTGGTAGACCCGGATGATAATGTTTTTACAGGTTTATCTAGGCTAACAGACATAGCCCGTGGCGGGCCTATGCAGATATATTATATTTTGCTTGTATTATATATATATATATATATATATATATATATATATATATATATATATATATATATATATATATATATATATATATATATATATATATATATATATATATATATATATATATATATATATATATATATATATATTGTGATACATACTTCTTATTACCGTACTATTTATTGCATAATATTTTGGCAATTACATGTTTCGATTCGAAGATAAACATAACATAAAATAGTACAACAAGCATAAATTAAAAAAATGAAAAGTGAAAACATATGTACTACAAGTTGATTCGGGATGTTTCAACATCTTGATTATATCGTCGATAAATCTTGTAATATGCGCATCCAACTCGATGAACCCTTAGTTATCCTACGACGATATGATTTCCACATGGTCTTCACATCTTCACCGGTCTTCAATTCAATCAAGTTGTATTTCACCCTCCCATTCACCAAGGGCATTTATAGAATAATGAAAAATTGGAGTGCCAGGTATAATTTGGAGGGTAGCAAGTAAAATGCTATAATATTGACGATACCAAATCAGAGTCTTTTATTTAGGGGAATGTTCTTTCCACTCTTATATGAGTATATTATACCAAGTCTTATTTATCTTATTTAACTTAAATTATTGAGATTGAGTTAGCATTCAACTTGAACAATAACTAAAATTATCACCAAGATCACCGCAGTATAATTTTTAATTTGACTCACAACCATCACTCTTCTAAAACTTAATTCAAATTTAAATTTTTTTGATGTTTCAAACTTCTCTTAATACTCACTCTACAAAAGGTTTTTATTATACCTTTATTTATAGGAAATTTTTTATTGAATTTATAAATTTTAATTTTCTTTAAGTATTTTATAAATATTTTATGAATAATATTTAAGACACATTGTTATAAATGTATAAAAATATTTATTTTTTAATTACATGATTATATAAATATTTATTTAATAATCTATTTTAATCCATAACATTGCATAACTTATATGCTTTGATCATATAAATAATTAACAAGTTTTAATACTAAAGATTTTTTTATTTTATTTTAAGGGAGAGTTTTGCCGCCTATTGTGTTTTCCTTTATTCGAAGAATGAGTCTATGCAACTTTTGACGGAGGATATTCAAACAATTTTGGTCATCTTTTCACATTTTTTAAGTTTCACCATTTTGATAATTTAAAAAATAGTTATAGATTAATCTAAAAATTTGTAGATATGATCTATATGATAATATCTTTTAATTCACACACACGCACGCGCGAGCAAGCACGCGCGCGCACGCACACGTGTACACACACAAGCGCGCATACTCGCACCCATACACAGACACATACCCACATCCACACCCACACACACTCACCCATACATGCATACGCACACACGCGCACGCGCATACAACCACGCACACGCGCACTTTAAAAATATATTTGCATGAAATCCAATTTGTTAATCAATTGTAAAGAATTAGTATTGTAAAAATAAAATAAATTCTATGCATCTTATATTTAAAGAATTTACATATCATTTTAAAAACTTATAACATGTTTCAATTTTAAAATGTATTATTAAAAAAACCATAAAAAAGATATTTAGGTTAAATAATCATTTGATATTTGTTTGACTTTATATTAAATAACAATAATCATTATCAATTTTTTTATCTTGTAAAATATTGAAAATAAAATAAAATTTAAAAAATATTATTAAATTGATGGTTAATATATTGGGGTGGAATTTTTTAAAAT